CAAAACCAAATACAATAATAATCAGTAGCTCATAATCTACATAGTACAATAAAGACCAAATTAACGATATTTAAAAACCACGTAGAAAAAACACACACCTACAAAAAAATACCCCATCATTAGAATCAAACACAACAGGGGTCCAACATACATATCACAAATTGAATTAAGTAAAAAGAAAAAAATATATCATTATTTCTGTCAAAAGTTGCTTAATCTCTCCTTTGAGGTGATTGTGCTGTCTGCTGTGTGAGGCTGCTGATTGCTCTCTACACAGATGTGGCTCATATGAATGCAACAACCCATAACCACAGAGCAGGAGCTGCCCAGAGGCCTCAAGTGACTCTGGCTACCTTGAATGACTAGGCTTTGGTCAGACTGGCCTGCGCTTTAACAACTTCCTTCCTCATCGACATTCATTGTGCTCAGTCCACAGTCTTGGGCTGCAGCTATTTTTACCAAAGCTCTTTTCCCCCTCTGCCATTTACTCTGCAAATACAGTGAGGCCAGCCTTCTCCCTGTGTTTGTTTGTACGGCAGGATTATAGAGAGGGCTGGAGGGAAAAAGAGTGGCACAGGAAGCATGAGGTAGCATTTCTTCACCACATAAAGGCCGAGGCGGAGTAACCTAACACTGAGCTTCATTTTGTAAGTACCTCTCTGTGATCTCCACCAGTGCAATAAACTGTAGAACAGGCAGATCTGGGAAACATTCATTCATAAAGGACCTTATCACTATGTGATAGTGAGTGGAAAGCTGGCAGATAACCTGTGTAAGAGATTTGACAGAGGATATTGTGTGGAGTAATGGAGCAGCTACAATGGCTGACACATACATATATAAACAGCCATACCCACGCAAAGAAATGACAAAGGGAACTGAAATGTCTCAGAGTCATTTTTGGGCTGCTCTCCCGGTTGATAGCTCAGTGCTGTAAATCAATCCCACATAATTTACAGCAGCCCATTCAGCAACCGCTTCAAAGGCCCATAAATCTGATGGTGATGGGTGTTGTGCGCCATGCTACGAAGGTAATAATTACACATTACTGCTGAGCCTCTTTATCTTGCAGCTCTGTTTGTGCAGTGGAACCGAATTCTTTTTCACAGGAAAGCACAATCCTGTCGTGTAGCTCCAACCCTTGCAACACACCGACTTGCTCTGTGAATGCGATCACCATGGCAACGCACCACTTTCTCTATCTCTCCCTTTCTGCTCCCTCTGTGCACTAAGATCTCCACCAAGCTCATCAAAAATAATTCTGCCTGCACCTCAAGCAAACATTGCTGAACGTGATATTGCAGTCGAGATAGACTGGTGGTAACATGGAGCCTGCTGGAGCCAAAAGGTCAGAAGTTCAAGCTCTGAAACAGCCAACATATGATGTCACAGTCTAGAGAAAGACATATGACAATGCTAGTGTCATATTAAATCCTCATAACTGACTGTAGTGATGTATAATTTATTGTAAAGGCATTTCAAATCCCAACCAGGGAAACAACAAAGCTCATTTTCCAAGCTTCTAACAGTACTTGAGAGGCATTTTGAAGATACTAGACAAGAACAGCATGTGTCAATGCAGGCCTGAGATGCAGGAAAATTTAATCATTAAAGTGATTAAACGGCTGTGCTACAAGGAAGCAAAGCTAGTCTTTGTGAATTCATTTTATTGTCTTTTGCTTTCCCTCAAGTGGGAAATCTGCTCATTTCGATGTTATTACACCTGCATTGTGCTGCATCTGTGAATTAGAATGTCCCCTTGCTGATCTTTACCCGGTAAACAACAACAGTCGTCTAGTCTGCAGCTTGGAGGACGTCTGCCCAGGTGGATTAGGGGAGGATGATTAGAGGATTGGCTATTCATCCTTGTCAGCACTGTTGAGCTGCGTTACAACCGGGCTGAGCCTCTCGCCCACTCACATTCAACTCACTGCAACCTCCGCTCCATTAAAACTTTATGGCCATACCACATCGCTGCTGTAATGTATTGCTTGTAATCCCTTTGCGATGCACTGCACACCTTCACGCCGGCTGGGCATCACAGCTAATTGTTGATAGATCAGAAATGTCAGAAGTCGGCTAGGCTGCACTGAGAATTAGCATATGAATATTTACGAGGGGATTATAGACGTGGGTGTTTCTGCTGGGATAAAAAGCTAGTTAGGCTAGTTGGCACTGGCAGGGAGATAGACAGAGCCAGTGGGATTCACTGCAGAGGGCAGTTCTACCCTGGGGAGAATCCTGAACCTTCAATCGCCTGCAGTGCTTCTCTTACACACGCTACTCTCAGCTAAGATAATTAACCAGTCACTGTCTTAAAAACAGCATCACAACCTCCTGTATCTAGACTGTCCTAGTGCTTTTGGGCTCACATATTCAGACTCATTACACAGATCCCCAGCAGTGCATAAAGCAGATTAATAATATCAAAGCACATCTGTGGCCTTTGGTGGTGCTGTAAATCTTGTACTGAACACTCCTGCTTCAATTACATGATGATTTAATGACTGCTAATGCAGACCTGGAGAGCAGGCCACTGCGATATAATTAGCCATGATGGAATTGAGTGTGATGGCTACATTGTATGTTACATGTAAAAGACAATGTTTTACACTCACCTCTGGCCCTTGCTCCTGTACATGGCAGGACTCGCTGTCTCCCTCTGAGAAGGAGCCTGACTCGTCGCTGGAGTTGGTGCCGTAGGACTGCTCAAATTTGATCTTGGGCCGCACCTGGTTAAAAAGGGCATCCCCTCCCACACTTTGCTCCTGCTGGTCCACATTGAGGCAGCGTGCCACATTGGAGCACGGTGAGGAGGAAAACTCAAACTGGGGCAGGCTGCAGGGAGAGCCTCCGCTGCCATCCTCCGCATAGGAGTATGAAGAGCAGGAACTGGAAGTCCTGGTGCGGGTCTCACAAGGCGGCGAGCGTGGGCACACTTTGATTGGCACTGGGCAGCTGGTGTTGGGCCGTGGGCGGCACAGGATTGGGGGCTCAGAAGAGGTGGTGCTGGGAGAATAGGTCTGGGAGCTGGGGAGGGACTGGCTGGTTCCACCCCACACACCCTTTGGCATGGGCTCAACGAGCTCCATCTCCAAAGAGTTCCCACCAGGGTAGGAATGCGCTGGGGTTCCCAGACGGTTGCAGGCCCCTGAGGAAAATATGACACTACGGCGGTCTATCTCAACTTCCTGTTTGCAGACCCCATCGCAGGAAGTGGACTTGAGGGACAACCCTGCAGGGAAACCGTCCATGTCCTTTGGGGATGTAACTGACAGACCCAGCTCCCCAGTGAAAGGCCTGAAGTCTTTTTTATGATCTCCCTGAGAGTTTCCTTTGTCCTGGGGGCAGACAAGTCTGTTGGCGAATAGCTGCTGTGATGTGTTGGGCAGACTGGGGAGGTCCACCCCTTTCTTGAAGAAGGCTCGGAGGCAGGAAGGGGACTTGGTTCTCTTGGTTCTTTCCACAGATATTGGGTTATCCATCTCCATGGCTGTCACACTGTCCTTATCCCTGACGTCCTGCTCGTCCCCTGACAGGCACAATGAGATGGCCTCTTCCTCTGCCTGTGGTTCAACTTTGATCTGAGCCAAAGGCAGCCTGCCCTGACCCGGCACTGCCCCACTTACGCTGCTCTCCTTTAATGTGCTTGGAAAACCTGAGGTACTGGTGTCTGAGGAGGTGTCATTATTGTGCTTGTTACAAGCCCACTGGTATTTCCTGTACTTGGGGCATCGTGGCAGGTCTGATGCACCATGCCGATCAAAGTCCAGACGGCCATCCATGAAGTTACTGGGCACAGCCATCGCTAGCCGATCATCATCAGGGTGTCGAAAGGAGGAGAGGGCGTCGGCACACCGCCGCGCCCTGGGGGAGGTGGGCCTTTCCACCTCTGACTGCATGCTCTCATCCTCTGAGTTGTTCACCTCCGCCGCCACCTTGTGGCAGAGCAGCAAGCCGTCCTCCTCACTGCGCAGCTGAGCTTCCAGGAAGCGAAAGCATGAGTCCTCGAGGTTGTGCATGCGCAGGAATTCAGCACAGCGGATGACCTCCTGGATGTTTTCTCTGCTGAGTAACAGCTTAGCAGTGTAGGCAAACTGCAACAATGGGGCGAATCCCCTGGCAGTGACCTGCAAAAAAACAGGGAAATTGCCAGCATTACCATCAGCACAGCCATTGTTCAGAGCACTTGGAGTGTGGTGAGACAACCCGACAGCTCCAACAACCATAAACAAACACTGTAAAATACCGCTTAATCTTTTTATCGGGTCAGCACTGAACTTTCTATACAGCAGTAAATAAGAACTGGTGCTCTGGGGATGTTTGGCAGGTTGTGTCCAGCCTGATGTGCATAATAACAACCTGTGGGACATTCCAGCAGTCTACCACTGTCTGCTCTGTGGTCATATTATTGGTTTTGCCTTCACCCACTCCAGTCACTGCTTTGTATTTGCACAACCCCTACTTACTTGAGGTAAGATGTCTAAGCACAAGTGCTGCTTTATATTCATTCAATTACATGTATTTACTGTTGGCAGCAGGAATCGATATATAGAAAATGCTGCCTTAAGTGCTCTGCTGGAGGACCAAATAATGGTGATTCTTAAAAAAGAATCAAGGTTATTTTTGTGACATACCTTAGACCGCTAACAAGTTTTAGTAGTCAAGTTTTTTTTATCAGTTCCAAGAGATTTGAACCGGCACCAAGCCAATACCTCATACCTGAGAAACAAATGGATTCAAATTTGTTAAATATTGTTTAAACAGAAGCAGCCTAAATAAAATGCTCTAAATCTGCAAAACTGTGATTTAAATCAAATAAAAGTAAATAAATCACAAATCTGACCACACACTCAATGTTGGCTTTTGGCACTTGACAGTAAACTGTAGCTGATATTTTAACCTTCAGTTAAAAACTGCTCTGCACTGTCAGTGCTCCGATCGGGGCCCACCTTCTATGTCAGTGCCCTGCATCCTCAGGTCAAGTGCCTATAAAGCCTAATGGTTTGTAAGACTGCGGCTTATCTCCGTGGTGGCCATGTGGCACTGGATGATAGAGGGAAGCCTTCCATTTAGACTTAATGCCAGATAATTAGGTAAACTCCTGAGCCTGCAGAAGTCCAGCCCACCCTCTGCTGCTGTTGTCACTGAGCACACATACAAGAGAAAGGAGCCAGAGGAGCCAGGCTTAAATACAAGGCTTGTCTGCTGTTTGGCGATCAGCGTGAGGTTTACACTAGGTTGTGTTCATCACTTTACTCAGGTTTTAGCACCCAATCCCTGCAGCTTTATCCTGGTTTATTCTCTGGTGACAAACAAATTACTGTTAGGCGCTTGGGGAATGCCATCAAACCACACACAGAGGAAAGGTGCACTAACAAACACAATTACAATGGGCTCACTTTGAATCTTAGACTGTATTATTTGCTCTACAAAGCACCTCTTCAGAGGTAGACTGATGTGAAGTCTTTCTTACAAGACTTAACAGAGGCTCGCAGATGTATGGGATGAGCAGCACAATGTGGTTTTAATGACTGTTAACGGATTGTTTTGCTGCCTTTGTTGGGGGAAACAAGAAGATGAATTACCCTAGGTGGAACCGTATCCACTGTGTGAGCACTGTAGCAGCTTCCTGAGGTCCAGTAGTCTCTGCCAGACACCCCACTTGTATAACAGGATTTTCCCTCCTAAATGATCAAGCTTCAAAAACCACAGAATTTACTCTGTGGATTTTTCCACCCGGAAAAACAACTAAGCAGTATGCACGAGGAAACACAAATATGTCAGTAAAAAATAGCTTGAGGTCATCTGAGTGAGTCTAAGAATGTATTAAATCATCTGGCTTAGTGGATTATTAGTAAGATGAATAAACATGTACATTAGGTTGCTGTTTTTTATTTTTAGAGGTTTAAACCTGGTAGCGCCAATACTTTACTGACTCAGTCCTTGTTCACTTTCCAAAAATACTGTGTGAAATTAGAGATAATACATGCTAGAGGCTCAGAACACAACAGCACAATGGAGGATGTGTGTGTGCCAATTTGAATGGAACATGACCCCAAAATACAGACGGGGATTATGTGATTAAAGAATAGATATGAGAATTAGAGCTTTAAATTGTAAAACACCCAACTTGACTTTCAGCTACCCTCAATGATCGATCTATTTACTTGTGCATTGTCATAGCTTCTTTGGCAATATAAATAAAAGATAAACTGTATTTATTTTTCATATTTTACCTATGTAGTTGACTGTTATGTGTACATTTTTTCAAACATTAAGGCCTAAATGCTGTTTCATTAGCCACACAGCCGGGAATACAATTCTGGTGGGGAAATATATGAGTGGTAACTATAGCTGTGTACGTGTGACTGCTGACGCTATAGTTCAGTTACAGTTTTAACCACTGCAATGTAGATAAAATGTTGTGACAGAAATGTGATTTAAGTAAGCTAGTACGAAGACTACATGCTAGTGATTGATACTGCTAATTTCCATCCTTGTTGTGTTTTTCAGTACATTTCATTTTCCATTTTTATGATCCATTACCTTTACAAAACACATTTTAGTGGTAATTTAAATGCTGTTTTAACAGTTAGATTTTGAATGCATATAAATAGATTCTGTGAGTTTTTGGAGCTCTACTGGAGGGATGAACATCTTTTACCAAAAGATATTCCTTCATTTGATGTTTTGATGATGGTGATGGTGGGGAGCGCCGTTGCTTCAAAATCTCTGTCTCAAAAACATTATGTTTGTATATTACTAAATTGTTTTCATGATTATGTTGTGTTGGTAACAAGTACAGGACTGTCACACCGGAGTGCAAGGTTCTCGTCCAGACTCCTGTCTGTGGTTACACAACAAGAGCACTTTTGTTAAGGTTAGTATTAAATATGAAGAATTCTGCTTACTTCTTCTGTATTAAAACACACAGCGATCTTTCCATAAGCATAAAAAGTTCAATAATGCTTTAGTTGCTACAATTGGCTATTTTGGTGGAAAACAAATGAAATATGCTGTCAATTAATAAAAACAGTATCCAAATCCCAAAAGTGTTGATACTGAACACCACAGTAAAATGTTAACAACATATTATTATGTTAATAGAATAACATAATTTGGTTGCCAGAATAGTTGTATACCGGTATAAACGTAATTTCTAAGATAGAGTGCTGCCCATAGGTGTTTAGTTGTAATCTGATGACCGTGATGGCTACACCAATAAGATTAGTCAAATTTATCATGTCAGAATAAACCCCTTGAGATGTATCAAGGGGGGTCACATATAAATGTCACAGTGCATGATGTTAACTGCCTAACTTAAGTGTTTAACTCATCAATTCGACCATCCATTTATCCTGTTGCCCCTCCATTACACATTGTCCTCTCCCTTGAACCACAGTTGCCTATCCACTATCTGTGAGTCCCTCTTGAAAAGCTATAAATAAATGTGTTTCTCATTTCATAATGTAACTGTGGCGGCTGTAAAAAGAGATGCTTCTTCTTGACAGCAACAGCTGTCAAATCTTACAACATTTCTTTCAGCTGGCTCGTGACAGCTCAAAATATTTCCCAGATGGGTTAAATGGGTTAAGTCAGTACTTGTGGCCCTGTTACCTACATTTCTATGTAGGTATTTGATCAACCATGCTATAAAAAGCAATGTAAAGTTACACTTGCATTATTGGATGTGTCTGTTTTCGGGCTTAAATCTTAATTCTCGTGTTAATTTAATTTATACATGTGCTCAGTTTCTTTGTTGCTATGATATGAATACAGAAAGTAAAATGTTCATGCTGTAAAACATCATACCAGCACCAGTCTAAACAGATGTGTGATATGTCCTAAATACACATGTGTTTGCATACGGTGTACAATGTGTGATGGGACTGCTATAAAATGTACGATATTACTGTGCTTTTTGATCTGCAGGGTGGACTCCAGCTGGGTCTAGCAGCTGAACCTCCATCCTGCTTGTATTTCACCCAATGCATCCGCAGGCTGCAACCTCCCAGCATGCCTCTGGTTTAAAGCCCCTTGCAGTGAGCTCTGGCTCACAGACAGTCCAACAGCACTGGGCATATCAGTCATTGTTAAGAGGAAGCTGCTGACTCCCTATCTGTGAGGGGGGATGGTGTGTGAGTGTGTGTGAGTGTGAGTGTGAGTGTGTGTGTGTGTGTGTACCAGAGTAAATTGGTAGGTGGGAGTGTGTGTGTGTCTCAGTGTGACGGATTGGGGGGAGGGTAGAGGCTTTGACTGGACTATACGATCGACTGATGAGCACAGCACATCCACTACACTACTGCTGCAGCACCGCTCTGGACATACACTTACACACACGTACACACACATTTCTGTGTATGATGACGCACAATATGTGCCCTTTAGGCTGCTCTTTTATCTTTCAAATCATGTTGCTAGTTTTATGATCTCTATGATATTTTTTATTTCTGCATTAAAGAACTACCCCAAAGATTTACTTTTACATGTCCATAAAACTTCACATATTAGAAAAAGAATGGTCAAAATCCGAGCATCACAGGCAATGATATCCTGACTATTAGTCCCTATATAGGTCAATCCCTCAAAATACTGGATCCTATATTTGTGCAAGAAGACACAAATTTGCTCAAGGTGGCACAAATCTAGGCAAAGATGCATCTTAGTGATTTGAAAATTCTAGGTGGAGATCTAAGGCTTCCATAATATTGTACTTTCATAATTCATGAGACGACGAGAGAGAGTCTGGGCTGTCACACTCACACATGCTCAACAGTCAATCGGTGAGTTTGTGCAAATAACACAGGCTGAAAATCTGCTTCCCAGTCAGATGATGTGATATAGTATAATTAGTTAATGACACACACACAGCAATAATTGCCTAATTTTAAGAACAATCCATGACGATTATACAGAAAAATAGAAATGCAAGTCAAAGATTACATTTTGTCAGTGTTTTAGAGACCCCTCCAAAATGTCACAAATAATGTTTTCAGGGGAGCTCATGTCTTATTAAAAGGAGCTGAGTTCCCCCTAATAAGACATGAGCTCCCCTGAAAACTAGATTTGTGAAATATTGAGAATATGTTATTTTTGTCATGCATTTATATTTTTCTGTCATCACAGTTTATTCCTAAAATTTGATATATGAC